CAATCTGACCAATCACCGCAGATTAGCGTCACGCAAAGGAGGGGTTTGGAAAAATTAATCGTTGAGCGAATCGTTTGGGAGTCGTTGAGAAAGTAAGGTAAAAATAAATACATATTATAAGACAATGAAGGTGTTTTTTGACCTTGCATGCATGTCAACCTGTTGTTGGGGACTCCCAAAACCAAAATATGAACCTTTCATCGCCAATAATAGGGGCACTTTAATATTAGCTGTCAATCACGCTGTCAGGTGACAGGGAGCTAACTACCGCGGGAAATGCAAAGGGCTGAAGAAGAGTGAAAATGAAATTTACACATGCATATATAATGTTTTAATACTGTAAACATAAAACGTTGAATACTGATATTTGAAATTATTTTTTTTAAATGAAAAGGTACCTTAAATGTGAAATTAAAACTGCCAGTAGGTGGCAGCAAGTCACTGTTAATAAGTGAGTCATTGCGTCTGAACCGAATCATTTAAACGGAACGAAACACCGTCATGTTGCTCAGAGACGCAGAACAATGCTGTGGCTTTGTTTGGAATTATTTCTGTTGTCGAAATAGAGCAAAAACAGGAAATACGATGTCTAAAACTCAAGTCTTAATATTAACTTCTTGTTTATTGAACTGTTGTATAAAATCAATATCACATTTGTAATCATGCTGATATTTGGAGGAAAAAACGGCACTCTTCGTGTGATATTAACTATATGAAATGATTTAAAGCCCCCATATCTTGAATTTTGTGATGCATTTTAATAGACTGAATCATGCAGTGAAAAAAACACACTCTAAGGCCATGTCCACACGTACACGGGTATTTTTTATAAAGTTTTTCCTTCTTCCATTTTTAAAAAAAATCTCCGTCCACATGAAAATGCAAACGCATGCTATGAAGCACCGTCAAGAGCATGCCAAACCAACAGGTGGTGATATAATCTCAACCCTAAAGCCATGTTGGCCAATCAGAAGCCTGAAAAAGTCTCCAGTAGGCGGAGATAACAGCGCAGGCGCCGACGTCACAAGCCAAAAACTCAAATTTCGCTGTCTACACGATAGCACTGCAACCGGAGTTTTTGAAAATCTTCACCCTGGCAGGCGTTTTCAAAAATGTTCGGTTTCAGTAACCTGATGCTGCGTTTGCGTGTGGATGAACGGCCTAACCGCGTAGAAAAA